AATTTATGAGAACTGTGATGTTTAAAATGTGCATTTTCAAAAATTTTGTAATGTATTCACCTTTCTATTAAACGAATTTTTAACATTGACTAAATGACCCGACTTGACCTGGCTTAACTTTATGTGAACTCACCTGGGATGAGATGACATGACTTGACCTGACCTGATCTGACCTCACCTGATGTATCCACAATAATTTCCTTATTTTGCTAAAACAGACAAAAATAAAAATCTTTAAAAAATGTCTAAAGAAAAAGTGTGGGACGAAAAATGTGATGAAAACTATTTATTACTCACTGTTAATGTGATAAATTATATTAAAACAATATAGCACACGTTTGAGTTTTTAAAGACGAGGGAGAAAATAAAATAAAACCGTTGACTTTTCGACTGCAGCACAAAAGCATAACATTCTAGTTGATTAAGTTTGGGTGGAGGTAAAAAGTATAGAAACAAAAAATTCCGAAAGGACTGATTAAATGTTTGAAGAAGAAGAACAAAAAGGCTAAGATAAGCAGAATCACCCAAAACCATAGAGAAAAAATTGGTCTCAAGTTATATCAGACGGAACGTCTCTCACCCTTGAAACTACAATCAAACAAGTCTAGTTTTTTAGAAAAAAAAAAATACATAGTATATGTCACAGTGGAATCGAACCCTCGACCTTCGCGTTATTACCAAGCGCCTAACCACGTGAGCTGAGCGGACAGAAGTTGATGAATGTTCCTCGTATAATATATAAAAGGTTATTATACAATGAATGCCAAGGGTAAAAATAAAGGCAGACTCATCAACCACAAGTATAAAATTGTTATTTTATCAAATTTAAGCATCATTTACCATACAAAATTTTGAGGTGACGTCTTTAAATTGTTGGTGGCGATCGTATTACCAACTGTGCGATATAAAATTTGACGCTCCAGTAGTAGAAATAAATATAATTGAGCAAAACTATTCGTCACTGTGATATTAAAAACGTACAGTTGCAGCAACCGGTTTCGTCTTAATGACATCTCTAGAATATAAATCAAAACACGCAAACAAAATTACGTGGCAACAACACGAAAATATAATTTTATACATTTTTTTTTTCGTTTATTAAGTGAAGATGCAGTGTAGCATAATTTTGAGTACTAAACACATGAGCTATGATTGCATTTTGACGTAGAACCGAAAAAAAATTCTACAAGCACAGCACTGTGCGGAAACCGTGTCCAAAAATCCCACCGCTGCCACCACCGCAGGCATTTACCCTTTCGGCTCGCACCAGTGGCCGCTCAGCCGCCGGTAGCCGCCAGTCCCTGTTCTACAAACCTGTACATAAAATCAAGAAGTGGTTGCCGAGAGAGTCCATTAAACGATTAAGCCAGTTGGTTTATCAGCGATTTATGTCCACACTAGCGGTAATCCCTGGCTTGCACGGCGTCTAACTGGAATCAATCACGTATGCAATAACACTAAATCTGCATGCCGGTCGTGGCCCATGACTCACTCCTAATAGACATTCAACATGCAGCCGCAATGAGCCTGTAAGGAGAAGAATCGGCTTGTCGTTACTGTAGTTACCGGTGTGACAATGACATGTAATTGGTGGCTCTTCCGTCCACGTGCGAGGGCATCGCACGGACCAGCGTCCCATGTCCGACGCGTCCATATACGCACATGCTATAAACATTGATTGATCGCCGGTATGACCATTGACCACCAGGAAATGACAAATGCCTACTTCCGAAATGATCGATGGAATAATAAGCAGGAGGCGGCGAACGGTCAAGGGGACCATCGGTTTTGCCTGTGCTGGATGGCAAAATTAACGCGGTGGAACACTAGATGGGCAATTTTCATTTAGGCGCCATTTGTTGCCCAGCAATTCTTCCTCAAATCTACCTGAATTGAGAGGAGCGAAAGAGATAGATAGATAATTACGGGACGTGGGTAATAAAACCATCGTAAGTTGATATTGAAAAGTAATGATAATTTATGACAAACGGCAGACAATAGACCTTCAATGTAGAATAACAATTTTCCATGTATGTTGAAATTGTTGCATCATGTATGTTTTAAAATGTTTGAATTTTTTATGGAAATTTCGGAACGCGGTGTGCACCACTGTTTTCAACTTACAAAACTCAAAAGGAAAAAATTGATAATACCACATCTAGTGACTCCTCTTAAGGAACACATTTCATCGTGGGTGTTTGTAGCCGATGGGCACGTAAACTAGTTCTGGTTGCGTTTCGTCTCTCAAGCAGCACCTTCAGGTTCCCCATCCTCCCGCTCCCGTGCTTCATCTCCCACGCTCTGGAGCCTCCCTGACAGCCCCGGAGACGCGTTATGTATAAGGTAACATTAAGCTCTTCGCGATGGTCTCGATAAGGCCGATCCGCGCACCGATAAGCCATTTCGCTGTTAACGAGGCCCGTGGATCGCCGCCAGGTGCAATCCGAGCCACGCATTTCTACACGAATAAACATACGGACCCATCTGCCGACCAACATTTACATACATCCGCTGCCCTGTGACGGATTATCCACTCTGTCGGAAAATCCGGCTAGAAAATGCCCAAAAACGTAATTAAATATCGATGCATCACGACTAATTTACATGGGGCGATGGCAACCGAAATATAATTAGAGCGGGGTCCCGCGAACGAGGGGAGAGTAGGTGAAGCGCTAATGACGCGAGGCTAATTGCGGAGGTTCTTAGTGTGGAGACGTGGGGTGATCGGACTCGGTCGTCCGCAATAGTGGTGGGTTAAAAAACATTTCTAGTAATAGGAATTTCCTAGTTTTTGAAATGTGTCAACGATTTCGTTTAATTAATGTTAATTGTAATGGGAAGGCTGAGCGGAGTCGGTGGTTATGTAATGGGTGCAGGTGACTGTTGACAAAAACGGTAACATTCAGCGCGGAGCTTCCGGTTGAGACACATATGACTATTTTATTCGCTGGAAATTAAATTAATTACGGCAATTAAGGAAAAAAGCAGAGGAAACGTAAGTGAGGGTACTGTGGAAGTACACGGAGGCAGTGCTTGCTGGGACTTCCGTCTAATGCCGCTGTGCTGAGTTTTTTCATGCCTTTTTACTTACTTCCCGAGCGTAAGCTTAAAGAATCTAGCCGGTGACTAATAATTTCCATGTTTTCTCGATGTTTCGTGTTTCCGTATGTCTGTCTATGTGCCGTCTGTGCAGATTTTTATTAGGCTCATCAGACAAGAGAATAACCGTTTAAACAAATAAATAAGTAAGATGTGCTTGCGTAGGATTTGATCTGCAACCCAGCTATACCCAACAGAAAGACGCAGTATGCACTTTGACGACAAAGCAACTGCAATACGCCGGAAGATAAAATGCGGATTGCACAACTCTAGTCCGACAATAAGAGCACGAAATCCCCATTCTTGATCTCGCCTTTCCCCTTTTTATTAATTCAGATGGGCACCCGTGACCCAGCCTTGGAGCGAAAATTTGTTGTAATCTCCCTCGACGGCGCGCTGAAATCTTTCACACAAAAGGTGTCAGAGGCAACAGACGACAAGGAGTGTTAATATGACGTCGGGTATGAATAAAGGGCGTCGCAATCCGGCAATATCACCGCGACATCCGCGGGGATCTGCAGACAGGTAATCGATGCGTTGTCCGACATGGCATTCGCATTTCACACCCGAAAGATACGTGTTTTATTCATACACGTAACTCCTGCAACTTTTAAAACCCGGACTGGACTCGTCGCGTTGTCCGACACCCATGGAACGCCCATCCCCTGAATCGCAGCCGTTCCAGCGCTGAAAAGAAGAGTCCTTCAAGTTCAAGACCTTCTAGTCCATCATGTAGTCTCGATGACGTATTTTGGAAACTCATCATTACCCACCCCGCTTTGACACCTAATGGACAGAACAGATTTTTTCCGCGGTCTCTCCTGTCGCAATCCCGAAGATGCACCTCGCCGCGACGCGCGCACCCGCGTCGCGACGCCGTTCATTGGCACTTTTCCGAGCGGAAGCAATCCGCATGGCGCACTCCGATTAGCAATTGCTATGGAAACAAACTGATAATGCGATCAGCAGGGAGCGACGGAACCTGGCATGCCACTCTGCTGATTTTTAAAATCATCCCTCGTTGTGCATTTTAAAATGAACGCTGTGAACGTCATTTGCGTCTGCAAACATCACGCTGCTCTGAGGCTCATCAGATTGAAATGTTCCGCACGGATGCGTCGCTCCGCTGATAACTGACAGCTTTATTAATTTCCCATCTATAACCCTCCCCTTTTTCGCGACATGTCTGCCTCTTGTTTGCTGCAAAAAATAATCAAATGCTGCCTCGTCGGGCTCCTTTTGATATGCCTGACAGATCGGGGAGATTGGGGAGGGCGTCGAAGGTGTTCGATCTGAGCACACATGGCAGGATGGTTGTCTGGTGCCTATTTGATTTAAACAATCAGATGTTTTTCCAAATTTTCCATTGTAGAATTATGTCTTCTATGGATTAATAACATTTTCGTTCTTTTCGTACTTCCTTCTCACGGGTCAACGTACAGCCGACCAACTCGTAAGGCTCGAAGCACCAATTATATCAAATCTCACAATGAGTAAATTCCATACGCCATATTTTGCCAAACGTTCTAATTAGTTTCTGCGTTCCGTGCAAGAATAAGCACTCAATTAACGTTATTTTTCCGGAGCGGTTCTAAAAACAGTTAAAGGAAGCAACACCCTGAGTTAAAATGCATGTTCCTTTGCAACGAGCAACACATTCTCCCGGTGGCTCTCGTTAAACATGCCTTCTTTGCGCCTCGCCGCTTTTTTTGGTACGACATTACGCAACGTACATATTAAATCGCGGTCGTGATAGACCTACACGCTTAATAAACCCAAATGATAAACAATAAAGTCAAATTGATATTCACGACTCGTTCCCATTGTAATGTGTGAATAGTCATTGTTACAAGACGTGTGTAATGTTTCCACGCTTTAAAACAATTAAATTTTTGTTCCAGATATGGCATGGATCTCAACGGTGCGCGTCGAAAAAACGCGACCAGAGAAACGACCAGTACTCTCAAGGCATGGCTCAACGAACACAAGAAGAACCCGTACCCGACCAAAGGCGAGAAGATCATGCTCGCGATCATCACCAAGATGACGCTGACGCAGGTCTCCACATGGTTCGCGAACGCGAGGAGAAGATTGAAGAAGGAGAACAAGATGACTTGGGAGCCGAGGAACAGGGTGGAGGACGAAGATAACAATAACGACGACGACGACCACAAGAGCACAGACGGAAAGGACCTTCTAGGTAAATTGATCTCGGTTTCTACTGGATAGGACTTAATAATCTTGAATTTGATGAAAAAAAAAATTGAGGGTGATCTTTTAAGGAACAAATATGAAAAACCATCATTTTTTTTTGGACCATCATTATCTTGGAAAAAAACCTTGAAATTTGTATACTTTCAAAAATAGCCTATTTTGACTCCCGGAAGTTAAACCTCCAAAAAAATAAATGACGGTTATTCATATTGATATGGAAAATACAGCTACTGGTATAATGTGTACCTTTAAAACCTACTCAAACTACGCAATTAAAAATTAAAACAAAATACATTTGCACCATAAAACACCAGGTAAAGAAAACAGATTAACATCCACCAAAATGTGCTACATCACCATTGAGATACTTCACAATACCCTAGAAAGCCCGCTCATAATTTTTTACTTGAAACCTAGTCTAGTGGTATGGAGTCGTAAAAACCCGAGTCTAATTTTCGTATTTCTTCGAATCTTGCAAGTATGATATTATTGTGTTCCACATAGTTATCGAAATGTGTTCCAACCTACATTATACATACAGGGTTTATATATATAAATGATTCTGAAGGCGAGGTTAGCCATGGATTTAAATCTTGTTTTTATTGTTTTAACGTTTTTCGAGTGTGAATTACAGAAAAACAACAAAATTTAAGTTTATTGTGTTGAAGAACACACTTTCACTGTTATGTCTTATTATCGCAATGGGACATTAGTAAACGAAGAGTTGTGTATTCTGTAAAGACTTGTAAGCAAGAATATCTGGCCAAATACCGTGATTTGATAATTCAAGAAACGTTAGAGGCTCACATTAGAGATATAATCAACAGATTTGTTTGAACTGACGGTGTCGACAAAGAGAAATCTCCAGGAAGACCTTCAGTATCTAAGGAAGTATCAAATATCTTTGACAAGATTTCCTCAGCAGTCAGGAGTTCCTGTTGCAACATGAAATTAAACAATGAATCCAAAGTATTGACGAAAGGATTGTACAGAATATTTTTGAAATTAAAGAGAGAGTGAACACCTGCTTTAAACAAAATGGTGATTATTTTCAACATTTACTGTAATGTGTAACCGAAATAATTTTGTTCCTTTTTATCGTAATAAATTAGCTTTTATTTGTTACCAAAATATGAGCATTTAGGCCACCAGTTATACAGATACGTGTGGTATTTGTTGTAAGTCCTTCGGCATTTAGTAAAGTGAGAGGCGGCACGTTTTCATAACCTACATCATTTATAAGAACGCTATACATAACCTGCATTATACAATTTAAGAGTGCTAACCGTGCCCTTGTTACAGATTCCAAGGACTCCGGCACCGCCTCCAGCGAGGACGGCGACCGGCAGCCGCACTCGCGCCTCGCGCCCGACACCGCCAGCGAGTGGAGCGAGTCGCGCCCGGACAGCGGCCCCGACAGTCCCGAGTGCTACGAGCGCCCCCCGCACCCCGCCTTCCTGCCGCCGCGGTCGTCCGGCTCGCCGCCGCAGATCTCCGCCTCCGTCACCTCCAAGCCCCGAATCTGGTCCCTCGCGGACATGGCGAGCAAGGAGAGCGACGGGCCGCCGCAGTCCGCCGCCTCGTCGCTGTATTCAACGGCGGCGGGGCGGCTCGTGCCGTCGTTGGCCGGGCGGCTGCCGCCGCCGGGTCTGCACACGGCGCCCTACGCCCGCCCCCACGACTTCTACCGGAGTCTGTACGCGCCCGCCGGGCCCGGCGGCAGCGGCGGCGCGCCCGACGCCACCCTGCTGGAGACGTACCGGAGCTTGGGGGCGGCCAACCTGGTGGCCCACCAGAGCGCGGGCCTCACCAAGGCGTCGCTGGCGGCGGCGGCATCCAACAGCGGGCAGGGGCTGCCGTTGGGGCTGACGAGCAGCTCGCGGCTGTCGCCGTCCTCGACGAGCTCGCTGTCCTCGGGCTCGGAGACGCCGCTCAAGCCGGTGGCGCTGAACAAGGCCTGACCGGCGGCGGCGGCGGGTTCGCGGCCATGATCTACCTCGGCAACGTGCATGACCAACGTGGACAATAAGAGACGCTGATACCCGTAGTGTGCTGTACAGTAAATGTGATATATACCTTTCGGTTCCTTAGTTTGCGGGCGCATGGACAGTCTTCGCCTTAGGTCTTTTGTAAATAGAGCGACTGCCGGAGGCAGCAGTATAAAAAACTTGTATCTATGTATGTAATTAGTTTAGAAATGTAAGCAGATATTTGTTATTATAATGTGTAATATTAAGAACAATATACATTCAAAACAAAATACGTGGAAATTACTATGCTGTATTCATTGTACTATACAAATTTCACCACACACGAGTATTTTTTCCAGCAGACATATCATGCAGTCTAACATTGTATTTATATTTCCATTTTATCCGATCGTGTGTTGACGCTGCAATAAAGTAAATCGTTCATTATTTATTATTGGCTTTTATTTCCTGAACCAAGTGCTGCTTTTGGACCGAAAGAAGAAGAAACTTGCGACACCGAAGAACCTTGCTCTTGATTAAACCAGATTAACTTGATAGGTAAGTGCTGGATCTAAGGTAACCCCTAGAGTACGAAAAAAGTGATCTCCCGTTTCGGTCTGTCTGTCCGTCGTCTGCGTCGATTTTTATTAGATACGCCATCTCCGAAACTGCTGGACCGATTGTTGTCAAATTTTGTATTTATATTAGGAATATCAGGTAGATTGTAAAACTCCAACCAAAACTTGACTAACCATCCCCATCAACAATGTGATGGTGGTCATCATGTTGCATAATTAACATCACCACAATTGTATGAAATAGTATACTCCTCCTGTATTTGTGGTTTACGAATCTATCTTGATTTTGTTTACTATTGTTAAATTTGTTTATTGTTTAACCAAGTTATAGTAGGCGTGGCGCTGTAGTAATGTTCCCGCTTTACAACCGAGGGTTGACCGATTGAAACTCGTAGGCGACAGATTTTTTTTCGATAGATGAAATAAATTTAATAAAATAAATCACTCAATTTTTCGATTTTTCAATCTATTTGTTCTTCAATTTCTCGATATTTTTAAATTTTCGATTTCTGGAGTTGTTGATTTTCCCATTTTCCCGACATTTCAGAAGATTTTTCTGATTTTCAATTTTTCGATGTTTCAATTTTACAGTTATTAGATTAATTTTAAATTTTCGCATTTTCGAATTCTCGATTTCTCGATCTTTCAGTTTTTCGATTCTTCAAATTTTCTCCGATTTTTCAATTTTTTTATTACTTAATTTGTCGATAATTCATTTTTAGAATTTTTCAATATTTCAATTCTTCGATTTTCGATTATTTTTTCAGTTCTCAATTTTTCTTCGAGCTTTCAGTTTTTCGATTTTTCAATTTCTCAATTTTTAATTTCCCGATTTTTCAATTAGATACTCAGTTTTGGAATTTTTCAATATTTCAATTCTTCAATTTTTTGATGTTTAGATTTCCGGATTTTTCGACATTTTAACTTCTCGATTTTTTAAATATCGGGTTTTTCGAATCACCATTTTTTTTTCAGTTTCTAATTTCTCGATTTTTCGATTACTCTCAATTTCAGTTCTTCAATTTTTCAATTCTTCGAATTTTGAAACCTAAGATTTTGAAATTTTTGATGTTTCGATTTCTCAGCCCTTCGATTTTTCGACTCGTCTGCTTTTGATTTTACTTTGATTGTTTTTCAATTTTTCGATTTTTAATTTCTTTTGAGTTTAGATTATTCAGTTGTTCGGTTCATTTTCTAGATGACACGATATTTTAATGTTTTAATTTTTCAATTGTTCAATTTCCCCGATTTTTCGATTTATGATTTCTATTTCCAGTTTTTCAAACTTCAATTTTGGTAATTTTTTTAAGTTCTGGATTTTTCGGTTTTTGTAATTTTAATTTTTCGAATTTTTAAATCGTAGATTTTTCAGTTTTTTCATCTTCTAATGTCTCGATTTTTCAACTTTTTGAGAATACGATTTTTTTATATTTCGATTTCACAATCTTTCGATTTTTACTTACGGTTTTTCAATTGTGCAATTTTTAAAATTTTCGGTTTTTCAATTTTTTAATTTTTCGATTGTTTGACTTAATGCTATTTCAATTTCTCTGTTTTTCAGTTTTTCGCTTTTCCAATTTTTTGACATTTCAGATTTGGGATTTCTCAATTTTTCGATTCCTCATTTTTTTGAATTTTCACTTTTTCGAGTTTTGAAATTTGAGATTTTGCGATTTCTCGTTTTTTTTCAGTGTTTCGATTACCTGTTTTTAAATTTTTTAATACTCCTTTTTTGATTTTTCGACATCTCGGATTTCCGATTTCCCGATTTTTCGAGTTGTTGATTTCTGTATTTTTTAACATTTCAGTTTTGGGAATTTTTCAATTTTTTGATATTTTAATTTATCGATTCTTTAAATTTTAATTTTTTTGATTTTTCGGTTGTTAGAATTTTAACAACTTTAAAAACATTGAAAACTTTGAGAATTCTGAAAACTTAGACAACCTCAAGAAGTTCGACGACCTCGAGAATTTAGAGAACTTTAAAAATTCAAAGATTCGTGAACTTTGTTAACTGTGAAATCTATGATCAAATTCTTGAAATATGATTTCAAGCACTTGAAGAACTTTAAAAACGACTTTAACTTTAAAATCTTTAAGAATTTTAAGAACTTTAAAAACACTGAGAATGTGGGGAACTTCAAAAACTTCAAGAATTTCGAAGATTTCGAGAACCTTGATAAATCTGAAAACTTTGACCATTTTAAAAATATATGAAATCGTCGAGAATTCGACAACTCCGAGAATTTCGAAAATATTGAGACTTGACAACTTTGAGAACTGCAAAAATTTCGAGGCTTTTGAAAGTTTTGAGAATTTTGAGAACTTTGATCATTTGAAAAATTTCACAAACTTTAAAAACCTTAAAATTTTCAAAACTTTAAGAATTTTGGGACTTTCAGAACTTCAAAAACTTTGACAATTTTTTTATTTTACATTTTTTTTTCGATTTGGCCTTTATAGAAGTTATCAGAAAATAAAAATTAACATTTTTCATAATTTTTGAAAAGCACGAGATTTATTGACCTGCCGTTCTTTCAGTATATCTTCCAATATGGTAGTTAGGTGTCGATCGTTTTTTTTTTTCAAACTACGTAGTTTCTGATTTATAAAATATAAATTTCATCTCTTCTTTCTATTTCATCTCCTGTATTTTTGTAAGTGCAATTTCTTGTCGTCTTTCTGGCTTTCAGAATTTCACAAAAACATTGATCCTTTTTTTCTTCGATTTCTTTTCATTGTTATGTTACTTTGTCGTATCTTCTTCAGTGTGATCTCTTGTTTTGCATCTTCGTTCCATCACAGTGTCTAGTTTCCCAGAGAAACTTAAAATTTAAAGGGGAAAAATTACCGCACAACTATAATGTATAAACACTTGGAATTATTATAAAAGAATGTAGAGAACAGAAATATTTTGATTCGGAGTTGACCTCAGAGTACGACATTTCACGTACTGATCTATTACAAACCATGACACTCAAACAACCCCACCACAAGGTTAACCTGTCGGTAATCCCCGAGTACCACCTCCGACTCAAAATTTCCTGGCTAATGGCCGTCAAACATTCTAACCATCCTAACCTCTCTCTTTCCAAAGAAGTGGTACCTCGAATTTTGCATTTAAAATGTGGCGGATCCCTCGTCAACGCACTGCGAAAACAAATCGTTCATTATTTATTAGATCGTCGCTTAACATTCCCGTCTGTTTTCTTTCGCCGGTGCGGTCCGCCGTCAACTTTAGAATGCGCTGACAATGGTACCACCACGGTACCATTCCGAATCCCGGGCGGACCACCGGTCGCGGACAGCGATTTGGAGCACAATCGCAATGCATCAACCTCAACAACTCTGCGAAAAAACCAAATTATGAATAGGAACGCATCACCGCCTCTGGGTACTCGCTCTCGTAATTAAGCGAGTGCTAAAACAGCGCCGAGTGTGCGCCACGATTTTTAGGGCGTTTTTCCTTAACGAATTTAAGTCTAATGAGGTCAGATAAAAGACAGATAGGAGCCGCTTTATTCTTTTATGATTATAGCGAGCCGGAGTATAAGATCTCCACGGGGCGCCAGTAAAGGTATTCACAACAACGCGAGTCAAGTGAAACGTTTATGGTACTTTTTACTAAGTGGTGATAAATTTTTATTGTAGTGTTGTAAACAGTTTGACATTTTTTGCATTATAAACTTTAATAAACACACTCAAATTTCGTATAAAAGTTTAAGTATGATGCCGGGCTGAGGAAAACAGTAAAGTTTTAAGATTGCTGGGAGGAAAAGGAAAGAAGCTTTTTATATGTGGGAGCAAGACCGGATTTCAGGACATGCAAACATGCGATTGCGGAGTGTAGCTGGTCTTGGATTTGTTTCTAAGCAAACGAAATAACCGTTCTGTGTTAACGAGAATGTGAGGCTTGAAGGTTTTATTTTTGTAGTCGAAAAAGTTTAAGCATGATTTTTCTAATTATTTTACCTTAAAAATAAAAAAATGTTGCAATTTTTATTTTCTGATAAGTTCTATAAAATAAAAATCAAAAAATTGAAAAATCAAAAATCAAAAATTTTGAAAACAACTAAGACAAAATTGAAAAATCGAAAAATCAAACTTAAAAGTCGAAACGTTGAAAAATCCATAAATTAAAATATACTAAAATTGAAACGTTCAAAAACTGCAAAATTAACAAAATTTAAATAATTGAAAAAATGAAAAATTCAAAAATTTAAATCGAGAAATTGAAAATTCCTGAGTCAAGAAATTGAAAAGTTGAAAAACTGACAAATCGAAACATTAAAAGATCGAGAAATCGAAAAGTTGAGAAGTTGAAAAACCGAAAAATTCAGAAATGGAATCAGCATTAGATAAAAATTAAAAATTGGAAAAGTTAGAATTTGAAAAAAATCTATAAATCGAAAAATGGGGAAATTGAACAATCGAAAAATTGAAAAATCGAAAAACCAAAAATTTTAAAAATCAAAAAATCAAACTTTAAAAGTCGAAAAATTGAAAATCGAAATCCGAAAAATCAAAAAATTTAAAAATCCAAAGTAAAAAAATCCATAAATTAACATTAATCGTAAAATTGAAAGTTGTAAAAACTGAAAAATTCACAAAATTGAAATGTTGAAAAATACGGAAATCGAAAACTTTGAAAAATCGAGAAATCGAAAAATTTAATTAATAAAAAATTGAAAAGTAGGGAAATCGAAACATTAAAAATCGTATGAAACTGAAAAATCCCAAAATGTCAAGAAATCGAAAAGTTGAAAAACTGATAAATCCAAACATCAGGTAATCGAAATATGTATAGTTTTGGAAATTTCATTCCACCCTATAGAATTTTATTGACAATAACGAGACGGACAGTAGTACAATA